CTTTAATTACTCACCCTCATGTCGTTCCAAACCTGTAAGACCTTCGTTCATCTTCAGAACACAAATTAAGATGATGAATTTTGATGAAATCCGAGAGCTTTCTGACCTGCATAGACAGCAACGGAACTACCATGTTTAAAGGGTTAGCTCACCCAAAAATGAAAATTAGCCACAAATTACTCACCCTCAAGTCATCCTAGGTGTATATGACTTTCTTCTTTCAGACAAATCCAGTCACTTATTACAGGGTGTCCGCGGGGTCTTAAAAAGTATTAAAAGTTGAGCACATCCTACAATAAAATATATTTGTCAATGAGCTCGGGATCTGTTGAGGAGCAAATCCTCCAACATCTTGTCAGTTATCTCCCCTTACTTTTGACCCGTGATTAGTCAAATCTGACTTCTGTGTTGGATGCAGGGTTGTTGTTGTTGGTTTTTTCCACAAAATTGGGCTGCTTTTAAACTGTTGCCATGGGTTGATTTTTCCCTATGGGTTAAAGGTTTGAAATATTGCATAAATTACATTTGGTTGAAATGCTTGTACTGAAACATTTTGCATTCTACCTGTAATACAACTGTGCTAAATGTTTTGGGCTACACTAGTAGGAAGCATTTGAGCTAGTCACTCAATAAATTCTCTTGTGCTTCGTTCCCTTCTGAATTGTGTTGTATTGATAAGGAGTTATCACAAAGCAAGTCTGTTTAGTTGTGCTATCTTACAATCAATATATAGTAAATGTAAGTTAAAGTGTTGCCGATGTAACCGGTTAAAACTTGGAGTGGCGACGAGGTCTTACAATGTATGGAAAGAGTCCTAAAAAAGGTCTTAAAAGGTATTAAATTTAACTCCATGATTCCTGTATATACCCTGTGTTCAGATATCTAAGCATATTCTGATCAGAAAGTGTAAAATATGGCCTGGTGAACATCCGTGGCCTGATGTTTATGAGGCAGTTTTGCACAGAAGGCTGCTTTTAAACTGTTGCCATGGGTTGATTTTTCCCAGTGGGTTAAAGGTTTGAAATATTGCATAAATTACATTTGGTTGAAATGCTTGTACTGAAACATTTTGCATTCTACCTGTAATAAAACTGTGCTAAATGTTTTGGGCCACACTAGTAGGAAGCCTTTGAGCTGTGTTTATGATAAATGTGCACAACAGTGACTGTAAAATATGTATTTTAAGGATGGAAATTACATTTTTATATTTGGGACACGGTAATTGCGCTACTTTGGGCCTTTTTTTTTTACTGGCATGGGCTTGGGATGCACAATTAAAATGATGTAATAGTTGTGATCATTATTTTACCTTCCATGATCATTCAGACATGATCTGGTGCAGTACTGACACTCTGTCATGTCTGCATCAAATCAAGCACTCCGTAATCACTGGTAAACTGTCTGATCAGTCAGATGTTTGTCATGAGAAGTGTTCCACAAAACAGCTATGGTTTGAGTTGATGTAACAAATACATCTTTTGAATATACTGTGTGAACTCATTGTAATTCTCTTGTGCTTCGTTCCCCCCCTTCTAAATTATGTTGCATTGATGAGTTATCACAAAGTAAGACTGTTTAGTTGTGCTATCTTACAATCAATATATAGTAAATGTAAGTTAAAGTGTCGCCGATGTAACCGGTTAAAACTTGGAGTGGCGATGATGTCTTAATGTATGGAAAGAGTCTTAAAAAAGGTCTTAAAAGGTATTAAATTTAACTCCATGATTCCTGTATATACCATGTATTAGAAGTACAAAACGAGGATTTGTAAAGAAGAATGTCGGAGAATTTCGATATAAGCCAAGAGGAGACTGGTTTTCCTTTGCTAAAGTAAGGAAACTTTGCTTCCTTTGCTCCTGTAAACAAACGTTGGTTTTCACGAGACTCACTGGCGCATGCGCAACGCTGAACTCATACGTCATCTGCCCGGAACTTTTTAAAAGATTTTGCATATCTTGCAAAATGAATTAAAAAGTAATGGAGATTGGTAGGAAGCTATCTTTTCTTCAAACTTTGAAGTGTTGCTAATACAACACATTGTGTGCTTCCTGGACATTTTAATTTAGAGAACATATTTACGCATTACGTTCCTTTAATTTATTGCTTAAATTTTCTTTACTTGATCTTAAAAATTCTTATTTTTAAGACAATTATTTTAGAATAAATGCATGAAGAGGTATATTAATTATGAAAAATATTGAGAGGTTTCTGCATTGAGCAGGCATTAGTTGATTTACATGCTGTGTCATTTTCTTTCCTCAGGACGGATTATTTTAGAAATTTTGTTGACTCTTGCCTTCAGAAAATCCCCCAAGACAGACCACACTCTGAGGATCTGTTGCAGGTGTTTACTTTGCACTGAATTATCAACGCATTTAAATAACCTTTTTGTTTGTTAGTCATAATAATAATCCACCTGAATATTTACAACTGCCTTATATTCTACACTTTTTACTTAAACTATAGCATGCCTTCGTCCTGCGAGAAAGGCCAGAATCTGTTCTGATAGACTTAATTTTGCGGACAAAAGATGCGGTCCGAGAGCTGGACAACCTGCAGTACCGCAAAATGAAGAAGATTCTCTTTCAGGAGGTGCACAATGGGCCGACCACTGAGACCCAGGAGGGAGATGAGGTCAGATCTCAAGTCTTACCTAGTTCTTGTTTTAATATCGGCTAATATATAAAGTGGGGTCCGAAATCTGAGTCAAAAACAGTGTGTTCAAAATGTCAAATTTAAAATTGGACATTTTTGGACAAATGTTTGTTCTTGCTTCCTTATGAAGCACAAGATACTCTTTGGGACATTCTCAAATCTTGGTGGATAATATGACCATCAGGTTTTTCACAAACGTCTGAATTTTATGAAAGTGGGGAAGTCGTGGCCTAATGGTTAGAGAGTCGGACTCGTAACACAAAGGTTGCGGGTTCGAGTCTCGTACCGGCAGGGATTGTAGGTGGGGGGAGGGAATGTACAGCGCTTTCTTCCACCTTCAATACCACGACTGAGGTGCCCTTGAGCAAGGCACCGAACCCCCAACTGCTCCCCGGGCGCCGCAGCAAAAAAATGGCTGCCCACTGCTCCGGGTGTGTGTTCACGGTGTGTGTGTGTTCACTGCTGTGTGTGTGCACTTTGGATGGGATAAATGCAGAGCACTAATTCCGAGTATGGGTCACCATACTTGGCCACATGTCACGTCACTTTCACTTCACTTTTTCACTTATGCAGCTCGAGTGCTGCTGTCAAACACATTTATGTACATATTTCCACAAATCAATTTGAGTGATTTTTAATATTTATTGTTATGATGATTATATAATTTGTAATAAACGCAGTCTTTTGGATCCCACTTCATTTCACTATGATTATCGTTGGTCTCTGAACTGCTGTTTTTGTGTATGTGTGTTTAGGAGCCAGAGCACGGTCCTGGTCGCACGGGCACAGTGAGCAGTGTGGGCAGTAATCAGTCCACTCCCAGCATGTCGATCAGCGCAAGCTCTCAGAGCAGCTCAGTGAACAGCATTCCCGACGCAGCTGATGACAAGAGTGACCTTGACCTGGAGAAAGACCATACTGTTATGTCTAATAGTTCGGTCATACACCTGAAGCCTGTACGTTCACACACCTCTTGATAAAACATCTCCGAAATCTTCATGCCTTCCTGCATAACCCAAATCAGAGATTCTTTATACTAAGCAACTGTGAACATTGAACTTCATGATACCCAATATATTTTTCCTGCTTTTGTGTCCATCAGGAAGAAGAGGAGGTTTACCCTGAGGATCCTGAAACGCATCCTCGTCCCTCAGAAGCCCAGGCAGCACCCGCACAGCCCCCGCAACGCAAACACCATCGCAACCGTGAGCACTTTGCCACCATCCGCACAGCCTCTCTGGTGAGCCAGTCACAGTGGACCTGTAGTGAAATGCTTTTCAACCATACAGACGCGTCAAAACTACATTACTCATTTATAATCGATGAACCATGGCATTAGTTGCTTTCAGTGTAGACACAGTGTAAACTGAATGGCATCACAAGAATTTTTTGTGCATTCTTAGTAATGTTCAAAATTCACAAGACGTCTCTTGATTATTTTTATTTCCTCTTCTTTACTTTCCCTCCATTTCCTTGTGTTCCTCCTCTTCCTTCTTTCAGGTGACACGCCAGATGCAGGAACATGAGCAGGACTCTGAGCTGAGGGAGCAGATGTCCGGTTACAAGCGCATGAGACGGCAGCACCAGAAGCACCTTATGGCCCTGGAGAACAAACTGAAAGCTGAGATGGATGAACACAGGCTGAGACTGGACAAAGAGCTGGAGGCCCAGAGGAACAGCTTTGCTGCTGAGATGGAGAAACTTGTGAAGAAAAACCAAGCATCCATAGAAAAAGATGTAAGTGTGCGCAAGACATGTCACACGATCTGTTTAGACCCCAAGCACAATAATTTGTTAGGTGGCACAAAGATGCGTAAAGTAATGTGGAAGTTCATCTGAAAAATGCTTATAAATTGGGAATTCCCCTCTTCCTTTATGCCATGGCCCTCAATTCCAGTGAAGACAAATCTTGATATTACGTCATAAAATGACATTGTAGAGAATTATGTGCTTTCTACTTTGTGACAATGGGGGGGGGGGAGATTCTATTTCTGCTTCATCATGACAAAAGCACTGTGCACAAAGCTATTTTTTTTTTTTTGAAGGCTAAGTCATTTGCCAATGATGAGAAGAAATTCCAACAGCACATTCAAGCACAGCAAAAGAAAGAGCTTAGTAGCTTCCTGGAGTCACAGAAAAGAGAGTACAAGCTAAGAAAGGAACAACTGAAAGAGGTAAACACACATATTCAAGCATGGCTTTTTACCCATATATGAATTTGCCAGTTGTGTTTTTCATCTTGGCATAATTCCACCTAAACTGACCTTTGAGATCTATGAGATTATTTTAGCTTGAACAGTGTAATGTAATGAAGACAAATGAAAAATACAACTAAAATATCATGTGTATCTATTGTTCAGCCGTTTGACAGTTACACAATTATACAAATGGACAATATGCATTCCAGAGAACAAGAGAAAACATTGTTACTGAGTTGATTCAAAATGTTTAAAGCAAAATGTAAAATACAGTAAAAATGTTTAGTAAAAATCATCTTGTTAAAAACAGTGATATTCAGTTTTTTATTTAATGAATTAAAAAGAATGTTTATTAATTTAAAGCCTCCATGCAGCCACAAATTTAATTCGGCTTTGATAATCAAAATGACGTATTTAAACATTTTTCCCATGAAAAAAAAAATCTGCATTATTCAAATTCTGAAAGAATTATAGCCTAGAAAGTGTACAACCAGCACTCCCCTTATGATCACTAAAAAGTTTATCGCTCATCTTAGTTTATCGCAATCTAACAACGTTTGTTTATAATCAGTGAAGCTTTCTTCAATGCACAGTGAAACCCTTATTTACGTTGTGCCTACTCTTTGTTATAATGAGTTCCAAAACGTGTAGAACTCCGTACTGAAACAAAAACTTTGGCGTTTTGAGCGGTGAGTGGATTCTGACTGACTTAAACACCTCTGATTGGCCACTGCATTTAAGAAATCAACAGATATGTCTGTGATTGGCTACATTGCTCAGCACTGCAAAAACGCATTGTAAATAGAAGCTTTTGTTTTAAGAATTATATAAATTACATAAAATAATTATAATAAATAATCATCATTAAAACCCAGACGATTTAATCTTTAAAAATGTTTAACTATGTAGTGCCCTTCATTTTGGAGCAAGAGAAACTGGGGGGAGTTACTTTGTGTCACAGATGTGTCACTTTTCTCAAAGCTGATTGGTCAAATTTTGATTTGAGATCTCTAAACAAGAACAAAGCCAAACCACTTTCAAGGTGCCTAAGAACCAGAGTAGGCGCAAACTAAACTGAAACTTACCTGGCTAGCCAGCTAAACCGGCTTCTTGGTAAAGGGCCCCAGATATGAAAAGCCCCATCTCACAAGTTGATGCAATTAGTTATGTTTGTGTTGTTTGTGACAGTAGGAAATGGGCGGTTTACAGTTATGTATTTGAGACCATCTTTGGTACACTGCAGTTTTAAAGGTGACATATCATGAAAATCTGACTTTTCTAGGTTTTAAGTGCTATAATCAGGTCCCTGGTGCATCTACCAACCAAGGAAACGTGAAAAAGATTAACCCATTAACTTTGTTTTGGTAAGCCTTTTTCTGCAAGAGTCTGAAAAAAATGAGCGCGTCTGATTTCGCTCCCTTGGTGACGTGGCAAAGGGATCTCATTATAATATTACCACCCCATAATCTGTAAGTTTCCACCCACGGCACCGTTATTGTGTTTTCGCAAACGACAACGGTGTACCAGTTCTAATGCCATGGCGAAAGTTTGAGCAAAAACATGCTAACTGTTCTGTCTTTGGCTGCACAGACGAGCACAGAACACTATTTAGAGTCCCAGCCTCAGAGGAGACAAGAGAGCAGTGGATTTATTGATTTATTTACTGTATATTGCTGCTGCCACACAGATCTAAAATAAACATGCGGTTTATTTCCCAGCTGTTTACCTTCACAGACATAACCGACTGTTTTTGTAACTCGTGTGTTTTTAACGTAAACTTGTGTGTTAATGAGAACTTCGTTTAGCACTCACATGTTGTCTGGTGGCCGCTTTCTGTCCGTGTGCTTCGGATTTGTGCACTCAGAAAACCGTATATCAAGAAGTTTAAACTAATATGGTTTAAAGCGCATGATTTCAGCGCGATAAACATGATAATCAGAACCAAAACAGATGTTTTTAGCAGGTACAAGCTGTAATGGTGCAGCTCTATTCTAGAAAAGGGGGCGGGTAGCAGCAGCTTATTTGCATTTAAAGAGACAGACGCGAAAAATAGCGTGTTTCTGCTTCCACTCAAAATAGGCATTTTCAAAATGATATAATAAATGATCTGTGGAGTATTTTGAGCTGAAACTTCACAGACACATTCTGGGGATACCAGAGACTTATTATTACATATTGTAAAAAGGGGCATAATATGTCTCCTTTAAGGAGAAAATCCTCAGCAGTGGTGTTGACTGATGAATTTGCACATGGTTTGTCTTTAACCAGAGAGACGTGTAAGCAATTTCAAAAACACCACAGGGGGTCTTTAAAAATGTTTTCATATATAACAAATATATGTATATATACAATATGTAGCTACATTTTGCCTTTTATTACTTAAACATTTTAAACCAAGAAAAATGTCTGTATTTCCCTTTACAACTCATTGATGTTTCCCATGCTGCGTGTAGGAACTAAATGAGAACCAGTCCACCCCTAAGAAAGAGAAGCAGGAGTGGCTTTCGAAGCAGAAGGAGAACTTTCAGCACTACCAAGCAGAGGAGGAAGCCAACCTGCTCCGTCGGCAGCGGCAGTACCTGGAGCTGGAATGTCGTCGCTTTAAACGGCGAATCCTCATTGCAAAACACAATGTAGAGCAAGACCTTGTACGCGAGGTAACTTCACTTTTCCTCAAAGACATAACTAATGACTAGGGTTGTAATAGTATGCAAACATGACGGTTCGGTACATACCTCAGTTTTGACGTCACGGTTCGGTATGGTTTCGGTACAGCAGGGGGGAAAAATTGCTTTAAATTATTTTTATCAAACAGTTGTTTACAGAAAACTTCTGCTCCTTCTTTAAATAAATTTAATAATAATACAATTTTCCTAGGGATAAAAATCTACCTCAGCTTATGCTCTAAACCAGTGTTTCCCAACCTTTTTTTAGTCGCGGCACCCTTTGGAAATTTTAACAAACTTGTGGCACCCTACAAAATTAATTTTGTCACAATATTTGAATTTCTAACTTCGATATGATAATTTGAAAGGTATAGATATTCGGTACAACAGGGAAGAACTGCAGAATATAATGTCATACAGATATTTTTTATATTATTAAAAAATGTTGTCCATCAATGGTGGCAATCAGTAGGCTAATTTCTAATGAAGAGACCAATTTATATGACAGATTTTAATGTAGGCTTTTATACATATGTAAACATTATTTAATTACCATTATAACTAGCTATCTCACAAATTTTTGCTCACTCAGAAGGATTTTTTACACGGCACCCCTGCTCTCGACAGACGGCACCCAGGTTGGGAAACACTGCTCTAAACTATAGGCAGCCCTTTTACTATAAGGTTACAATTAACAACTGAGCCCAAACTTAAATTCAATGAATATTTATTTTTAAATATAATAATCAACATTCAACTTTAAAAAATGTACGCAATCATGTAAATTGCACATAATGCAGTTTTTAAATTGACTTCTAAATTATACAATTTCTACTTGTCGTTGAAATATATTCATTTACACAGTGGCTGTCATAACTTGTTTCATAACAGATTTATTTAAACTTACATTAAATCACTAACACGTAAAGTAAACTATAATGAGTATATAGTCTAATATTTTGCGAAATGCTCCTCTCTAGACATTTCTCTAGCGAACTAACAAGCTGTGGTCACTGATGACTTGCCTGAGGTAAATGAAATGCTACGTGACATTTTGTTTACAAGCTTTTTTATTGACGTCTTTCCGTGGTTAAAACACTGATTGAGTGATTACATGAGGCATGAGATGTTCATTCATGTTTATTTTTATTTTCAAAGAAAATAAATATAATGACAGAGGTTTTCTTGATCCAGGAGCTAAATAAGCGCCAAACGCAGAAAGATCTGGAACATGCCATGCTGCTCCGCCATCATGAGTCCATGCAAGAGCTGGAGGTGAGACAGCTGGGCACCATCCAGAAGATGCGTACTGAGCTGATCCGCTTGCAGCATCAGACTGAACTCACCAACCAGCTAGAGTACAACAAACGCAGAGAGCGAGAGCTACGCCGCAAACATGTCATGGAGGTCCGGCAGCAGCCCAAGAGCCTTAAGGTGTCTAGCCTATGCTTGATTTTGTAACATACACTAGCTAGTACATACTAGTTGTGTAGAGTCAGTAAGTCTTTTCTCCTCTTTAGTCTAAAGAGCTGCAGATCAAGAAACAGTTCCAGGACACGTGTAAAATCCAGACACGGCAGTATAAGGCCCTGCGCAACCACCTCCTGGAGACCACACCCAAGTCTGAACACAAGGCTGTGCTGAAGAGACTGAAGGAGGAGCAGACCCGGAAATTAGCCATACTTGCTGAGCAGTACGACCATTCCATCAATGACATGCTCTCCACACAAGCTGTGAGTGACCTGCCATGTTCGGTGTAGGCATATGTATATCTCTTCCTATAAGCCATCGAAGAGTTTGAACCAGTCACAAAGTTCTGAAGGAGTTGATACAGTTACTTCACAGTATTTAGTTGTAGGAGAAGTAATGTATGAGGTGAAAAACTGTTCTCCTAATTTAAATGTGGAGAATGTGGCATTCACCTTCTTGTGTTTTTAACACAGTAATTCTAAATGTAACTATGACTCCCATCTTGCCCCTCAGCTGCGATTGGATGAGGCACAGGAGGCCGAATGTCAGGTGCTAAAGATGCAGCTGCAGCAGGAGCTGGAGTTGCTAAATGCTTATCAGAGCAAGATCAAGATGCAGACGGATGCACAGCACGATCGTGAGAGGAAAGAGCTGGAGCAGAGGGTTTCGCTGAGGAGGGCTCTCCTTGAGCAGAAGGTAAGTTATCTGATACAAACCTCAGCAGCCCACTACTAGAAACCACGGGAGGAGGCATATTGTTTTAAAGAGTTTCAGTTTTTGACATTCCAGAATAAGAATTAAAGGTATAGCTCATACAAATATGAAAGTTCTGTAATTTATGCTCCATTTATCTAGATTTTGAACTTATTTTCAATTAAATATGAACTTTTGAAGCATCTCCAAATTATGGAAGGATGTTTAGCCTAATTTCACATCCAAAAAATACATTTTTAGCCATTATGTTGACCCTCCAAATTTTTAGCCATTATGTTGACATCCAAAAAAGACAGCCATTATGTTGACCCTCCAATTTTGAATTTGGATGCAGTATTGGAAAAATGTGGAGATTCCTCAAAAATGTCTACTTTTGTGTTCCACAAAAATGTGCATGCAGATTCAGAATGACGCAATTACTAGTTTAAGTTTGTCAAGTATTTTGACTAAAGGCTGGAATACACCACACAACTTTCCAAACCTGAACACTACGCATCATACATTGCCGACTTTGTAAATGGTTAGAGAAAAACTGGGCATCATACACTAAACGAGTGATCACACACTACCAGACTTTCAAGTAGTCCTGATTCACAATCTCATGCAGAACTGCCTTGTTGCTAGGTGACAAATAAAAAATAATGTTGTAAAATCAGCTCAAAATGTTGATCTCCTCCAACTAGATGGAATCATAGTCTGAAGAAAAAAAATCAGTCTGTGCCCATTATATACTATGCAATTTTCTGTGAAATCGGTCAACTCTGACTGTCCAATATCTGTAGACTAGTGTTGTGGAAAATGTCTGTTTCACTCAAGTCACAGAATTCCAATGTCAAAGATCAGACTTTATTGCAGCAGTTAACAAAGCCGAGATGCCTGCAGAACATCTGACAATAACAGTCGCAGCTTCCACTTTTATACAGTTTATAACCAATGATTCATCTTTAAACTCTTGCTACAATTATTTTGCAATCCTGTTGTTTTCTTTCTAAGGGTGAAGCACGTACTACCAACATATGTTACATTGTATCAATGGCTGGTGCAGTGTGTTTAGCTTGCACCATAAACCGGATAGCAAATATCACACAGTGTTAGAGAGGCCCAGAGAAGCCTAAATGAAGCCTAAAGTTTGGTTTATTCATGTAGTTCCCAGGATATTCTTCAATCATATCTTATATATCTAATAAAAATATACCATACTACTAGCTCTGACTTTCATCAACTAGCATTGACTCTTCCATACCTCAAATCTTGGCAAAAATCTGGTTGTGTGGTTTATTCTAGCCTTAACCAAAACTACAGTATCTTTGAAAAGGTAATGTCTTCAACGGGAATGTTACTTGATTCTATTTTGGTTTTTGGTTAGATTGAAGAGGAGATGGTTACCCTGCAAAATGAGCGTTCAGAGCGAATCCGCAGTCTATTAGAGAAGCAGGCCCGGGAGATTGAGGCGTTTGACTCTGAAAGCATGCGTCTGGGCTTCAGCAACATGGTGCTCTCTAGCCTGGCCTCATCCGACGGCCACAGCCACAGCTTTCCGGGGGCCCAGAGTAGCTGGGGCTCTCAGTACGGTGCAGGCTCTCAGGGGTCACACTGGGGAGGGCACCATAGCGGCAGCCAGCATGGCCACCACCACCACCCAAGCCACAGTGACTCTATCCAGCAGCCTTGGGGTCACGGCCTGCCTTCAGGGGGGCCTCCTCCCTGGGGGCACCACATGTCTGGGGGCAGTCAGCGCTCGAGCCGGGGAAGTGGTGGGCTACGGAACAGTCCCCAGGCGGTACGGCGGGCCACCTCAGGGGGCCGCAGTGAGCAGGGGATGAGCAGGAGTGCCAGCATCGCCTCTCAGATTTCCAATGGCTCGCACTTGTCCTACACGTAAGACCACCCGCTGCTTTCCCACAACACCCATCTTGACCCAAAATGCCATAGGGGAAGGGACAAAGGGGCACCGTGGTCTTTTTTTTTTTTTTTAACACCCATTCCTTTATTTCTAATCCTCTAAATACATATTTTATACACATGGTAAGCACAAAATGCATCCATTGTAGTTCAGGTTCTAAGAATGTCAGACAGAAGGGCACTTAAAACATTCTGGACAGTTGTATCAAACTTCAGCCAGAATCCAGAATGTCATTTTCGCAATGATGTGAAAAAGTTTTGAATTCAGAGAAAATGCACTGCATTTTAGAGTGTTAATCTGATTTGAAAATGTTAGTGAGGGTGAGAACGAATATATGAATGCTGTGCATTGCCTCTCACAGGTGAGATTGTAAGTCTTTATGCAGTGGGTTTTATCATGGTCTTATTAACAGCTGGTTTCGGTTGTATACAGCAGGGAGATGAATGCATATCATTTTCTCAGAAACATTGATTCATAAGAAAACAATTGCAGAAATATATATAAATAGATGGTATAAAGGTTGGATAGCAGAATGTGAAAGAATCAAGCTTTACAATGCACTTGATTTTGTCTAGCTTAGTATTTTATAAACAACAAGCACTAATTTTAATGTGTTACTAAACAGTATGCTCTTTTTGTGCCAGAACAAATTTTAACTATGAAAAGATACTGTGAAATTCCAAGATTTTGTTAGAAATATTTTGATTATTGAATTATCGTGATTTTTTTTTATTTGTTGTATGTTGCCATTGCCATCCTTTCACAGGTCCAAATAACCAAAACCTGTGTGGAGAGCAGGATGCCATTTTGCTTTTAAAACTTTGAAAACATAGCCTAAAATTCTGATAGTAAGTGTATGAACAGATGTGTTCGATTGCTATAGGCCAAAGGGACATAAGTTATAAGGTAGGTGAGCGATATATGACTATATTAATGTGGAGGTGTCTTGAACTGAATATGTAGAATGACACTTAAAAACAGGTTTTGCTATGTGAATGTACGTGAGTGTTAAAGCATGTCGGCACGGTAAAACTTCACTCCTGAATAACAGTATGGCAGAAGTCGTTGAAGTATATTAATGTTCATTTTAGTCTTTTGATTTAGTGATGCCAAAGTTAACAATCGCAACTATGCAAAAGGATAATAGCCTGCCACATTCATGTCTTCTTTCACTAAGCTTAACATCACAGAAAAGCACTTTACCATCCTTTTCTACTCTTAGTTGCTCACTACAATCACATACAAGCAGATCTCCTGGTCCTTGGGTGCCCCCTCCTCCCCTTTTTCAGGCTGGGTTTGACAAGAGCGTGTTGTGTGGATTTTAGGGGTGGGGAGGTCTGGGTTGGGTAGGCTTGAGACCACTGAATGTTTTTGTGGGGGCGGGTGGGTGCCGCTGCTGTCGTCCCTGCAATGCCTTTGTTTCTTCCATGCCCACCCCAGAGCTCCAGCGACTGCCGCCCACCCTCCAACTGAACACTTATCAAAGCATGTAGAAAAAAGTGATTAAAAATGCAATGAAAAAAGGTCAGTTAGCATATTAAGCATTATGGTGGAAGGGTATACAGCCAGGAGACAGCTTTAAGTGAGATGTATAGGAAAACGTGTGTATATTGTATATTTAGAAATTTAAATAAATGAATAAATGGAAATCAATATAAAGACCCAAGTTAAAACTAGACTAAAATTTATTTGCTTGAATGCGAAAATTAAAAAAAAAACTTGGTTTCTAATATTGAATATTTAAAAAGAGAAAAAATTATATATATACACAAAGCATATTCTCAGAGGTGTCAAGCAAAGCCAAAAAATATATATTTCCCCTGAAATTACACTTATACAGAGGATGTCACTTTCCATAGTCCTCTCTGCTCCTTGCTCTCCTTGCTTTCAAAGGTATGAATTACCATATTAGTGCCAGTACTCATGTTCTGTTATCTGTGAACCAGCAGTGAACTTAAATTTTATAAAAGATAAAAGGCATAGGTTTTATTGTTTCATTAAAAAAAAGAAAAAGAAAAGAGAAACGTCTTTATAACTGCCATCATGCCTATTTCAGAATGGCTTCAAAAACATTTTTCCAGGAAAATAAATTCCAGTTTATAATACGAGTGCTATCTATAATAACCATCAACTATGAACACTATTTTGGCACACTTCTGGTATATGCATGGGATTGCAGATTTCATGAAGTTGCCTATCTCAGTCTGACTAACTAAAACCAACTGAGCCAATGAAGGAGATGGTCCTCACTGCAGAACACAAGATCCAGGGGGCGTGGTTGGATCCAGATCCAACTCCTCCCACCTTACATATACCTAAACCTACCCATCTCCACCCCCTGATCCCTAAACCAACCCATCTCCACCCCCTCATCCCTAAACCAACCCATCTCCACCCCCTGATCCCTAAACCCTCCCATCTCCACCCCTAAACCTACCCATCTCCACCCCCTGATCCCTAAACCCGTCTCCAGGCTACTGCAATGCAGAGCCAATCCTAAAGATTTGGGCCAAATGTAACAAATTAACATGAGATTATTGACCCGGGTAAATGACACATAACATGCCAATCATTTAATCACATTCAGTACTCTAATGGAATCACTGGACCAGAGGAACAGCCATAGACTCAAAATGTGAGTTTACACTCGCAAACAGGTTCATGCAGTATTTTCCAAAGGTGAGAGGTGTGCCCTGTTATAAGAGAGCAGATTTCTTTAGCTCATAGCATCCTTGTTTTAATGACCCTTTTAACAAGTGTGAAAACAACAGGATGAATAATAATCAAAGAAGGTGGTACAGTGTGTACAGTGTCTCTGTACAGTGTGTTTACCAGTATTTCGTCCTTTTTCTTTTGATGGTCGTTGTCTCGTTTTCCTGCTTCAAAATTACAATAGCAATCCAAATATAACCTGTATTAAAATATATAGATTGTGAAAAACTGAATGTTGGAGAGATTACAAAAATTGTTAAGGCTATTCATAACAAAACACTTACAAGTGAATTAAAATATACAAAAATTATGAAAACCTAAGGGGACAAATGTAATGTTTTGTTTGTAATTACTCCTTTTGTTGGCAGAGGGCTACTGGACAAACAAAATCAACTGTAATAAAGTAATTTTAGTAAATTTTGGTTTTGTCATTTGTATGCTTTAATACATTTGTCTGCTGTTAAATTCTAGGTGTAGTAAGTGTAAACTTTCCTGAACATCCTTTTCATGAGGATTGTTTTATTGATTCCTTTTGAACATGGTGCTTTTGAATTCAGACAATGGTTCCAAAATTTTGACAGAGCTCTTTATCTTTTGAGAGGAAAACTGTCTTGCACATAGAGAGTTAGACCAACTTGTTCCAACTTAATTTTTACAAAAAATTGGCTAAATATAGCATCTAATGCTATAGGCCAAGCTGTCAACATAATTAAGCCCCTTGCCAGTCAGTAGATGTCCCTTTTGTCTATCAACATGGTCTTTCCATTTTGTTCCCTTTATCTTCCATGGTGTCCTCCTTACTCATTTCTGCAAAACTGTGGTTTCCTAACTAAGGGCACCTCATATTTCTTAAACATGTACTGGTAGGAAGTTTAACACTGCCAATCTGCTATGACCTTATGGTACCACCTGCTTCTCTCACTCAGCGTGTGTAGGATCTATTCCAAGTAAAATCCTCCTGTTCCTCTTCAAATGTGAATTTGTCAGAGGGAGTTGAGATTTGCCGTCTTCGGATGGGTCTTTCTTTCCGGAGCAAGGTTGTTCTTCTTCTGGACAGCACAGCACTGGCGCTATGCCTCAGACTCTGGCTGCCACATTGTGCAATAACATCTTTGAAGCCTTTCTTCTCCTCTACCCTGAAGAAATCGGCAACTACCCTAAAGTATTCCAGCACCACAGAATGACTCCAGGAAGTAGTACCTCCATGACCATCCTCAAGCATAAAGCTGCAGTGTCCTCCCTGTTGCGTCACAGCCAGCAGGAAGTAAGGGCTATTATGAAAAAGTCCCTCAGGTACAGTGGAGAGAGGTGGAAGAAGAGGGTCATCTTGGCTACACAAACAGAGCACTGGCACTGCCACTTCATCTGCATCTCGTAAAGGTTCATTCCTCTCCCAGTAACTTGGCCAGTCAGGCTTCACTGATAATCTTGAATTGTCCTTTCCAACATTGTCCACCGAGTCTGATATTCTTTGCTCCGACTGCTTAGGAGCACAGAACATGAGCTCTTCCATATCTCGCAAGGAGTTGCAATGTAGAATTTTTGCTACATCCATCACAGAGCTCAAAGCAGTGGCATACCTGTGGAAAGGGCCAAATGTATAAATTCAAAGAGCTTGTAATCCTAGTTGCTTTTTTCAGGTGGTAGTTTTGCACTGTGGCATCTTGTGATGCCCTAACTTGGAATGCAGTTCTTGTATTATCCCATTCACAAGATTCAGTTGACCCAAAAATGAACATCTAGTTATCATTTACTCACCCTCATGTCATTTCCAAGCCACAGACGTTATTTTGTGAAACAATATAATGCTGCCTATACAGTATACACTATACAACTCAATGTAGCCTGTGAAATATCTCTTGGCCATCAGGGACACATTAGCCGCGTTTCCACTGTCGGGCCAAAAGCGGGCAGTCGCGTTTCCACTGTCACTTCCGGGGCTTGATTGTGCCTCGCCGGTGCTTCCTCGGGGCCAACGGCCCGGGTTTTTTGGCCCGACGAAAACCTTGGGCCAAAGCGGGCCAGCTGGGGCTAGAGGAGTGGTTATGAACAAAGGCGAAGTTTCTCCGAGTCTGGAGAGCGTCAGCGCCGCGGATAATTTCTTAATGTTAACAGCTATAACACCAACATTAAAGACTTTTAAAATAATTTTAGTTCAAAACTCACTTTCAGACAGCAGCTAGTGTTTGAAATAACTTGATCCGATGTGGATTATGATCACTATACAAGGCAGAAATAGTTATAAGCGATGCAAAAGACTATGCACGCTAGCCATTAACGTTACCATAGTAAACATGGTAAATACGATCGCTTGAAGAAATCAGACGTCAGCTTCTTATTCTCTATCACAATCGTGTATTTATTTAGTAACATATTTTATCTGTCATAAGTCTCGTCTCGAGAGTTTAGCTCCGCGTATGTCATAAAAATATAATAATGGTTTTTATTCGGGAGTTTTTATAAAAATATAGAAATTATCATTCTTTCTAAATGTGATGTATATACTGTGACTACAAATAAACAGAAACAGATTCTACTGAATAAGTAGGTAGGCTATGTTCATACCGCTTTATTTCTGTGTGTTCTAATTTTCAATCTTGATAAATTAATTCATTATGATCAATGTATCACTTATTATTGTAAAATATCGATGCTTTTGGATTTAAATCTTTAATTAACAAAGCATGCAAACAAATGGCTGCTTTTATCATGATCGTTTTGTGATCGTGCTAGTTCCAGTGACTTATTTCTTATTAGTTTTCTGATAACTTCTCTTTGTTGGTGAAATGATGGGATTGCGTGACGTTGTTCCTGAGTGGCGTGTAAAGGGTGGTTTTTAGTGAAGCGCAGTGGCGCTTCTGGCCTGACGGTGGAAACGCAGTGTGATTTTGGCCTCGGTGCTACAGGTCCGAGGCTATTAGCCCCGCCCGGCACATTTAAAGCACTGGCTCGCACTGGCCCGACAGTGGAAAAGCGGCTATTGGCACTTTCAGGTCCTGTCTTTGAAAAGCTACACATAGTGATTGTTACTCATATAAAAGAACACAGAACCATCTGCGATTAGAAAATCGGGACTAAAATTGTGTAGTTGGCAGCATAAAAGAACAGGGATGGATTGATGCTGTTGACCTTCAAAAATGGCCATAAAGCACCACAAAAGTCCATGTTGCTTGTGTGCCAAGTGATGGCAAGATTGAAATTAAGGCTTTTAAGTGCGAACTGTCAATTTTAGCACAGGACACAAGTTGCATAATCTAATTTAAATGTGGGTTCTTTCATTTGTCATTTTTGGGTGAACATTTCTTTAACCCATGGGTATCCAGACTCGGTCCTGGGGGGCCCTGTGTCCTGCAGAGTTTAGCTCCAACTTGCCTCAACACACCTGCTTGTAAGTTTCAAGTATAACTAGCAAGACCTTGATTAGCTAGTTCAGGTGTCTTTGATTTAGGGTTGGAGCTAAACTCTGCAGGACACCGGCCCTGCAGGACCAAGTTTTGTGACCCCTACTTTAACCCAAGGGTGTCCGATCGTGCTCCTGGAGGGCCACTGACCTGCAGAGTTTAGCTCCAACCTCCAGTTAAACACACCTGAACCAGCCAATCAAGGTCTTACTAGGCATACTAGAAACATCAAGGCAGGTATGTTGAGGTAAATTGGAGCGCAATCTGCCAGACAGTGGCACTCCAGAACCGAATTTGGATACCCCTGTTTTAATCTGTACTTCTATAGCAGTAGAGTCTGCAATCCATAACACTTTAGCATAGATCAGTCAACATTTGTGATGAATTTTCTACCTGTTTATTTGAAACTTGCGGTAGATGAGGGCTATCCACTGATGAAGCCAAGGTAGCTCATACTCAAACCACAGTTGTCCATGAAACACAGGAGAGATGCAAGCAGCGGCCGTCAGGTAGGATGAAGAGCCACATTCCCCCAAATAGGACAGCAGTAGCCCTGATCCCGAGCCCTCACTTACTGCAAGCAAAGTTGAGGATGGATGACGACTCTGCAAGTATGCTACTGCTTGTGCAAGGTCAGAAGTATTTCCAAACTCCTGGTAGTGTGGAGTAGTCAGTGGGCAGCCGCCATGACCACGTCGATGGAAAACCACTGGATAGAAACCCTGTTGCAAGGCCTTGTAGCACAACATGAGCAAGTGTGGTGTTACTCTGCCTAGGGCGTTGGGAATTATAACAACAATAGCAGGATTACTAGAGCCCAGAAATCTTCCTCCAGGATGATGATCCCTTTTGGCCTGAGCTTGTTGGTCCGTCAGACTCACAGCCCAATCCAGGGCCACAATACCCCCATCCTTTAGGAGAAGGTTATCCCGTGTAAAGCGGACTCCTCCTTGCAGTTCAGCACCTTCCTTTGTGGGCCACATGAGATTGGTAATTATCTGAAAATGAGGGTCGGCCTGAGGCCATTTTGCCAGAGGAGGCTGGGCCAAAGTATAGCAGTGTTTCTTCAGGTGGCTGGCAAGGGCTGTGGGTTTACAGATCAGTCTGACTTCTGCCTGGCATTCTTCTGTGGATCCTGATACTGTAAAGCATGGCAGTTTCAAGAGTCTACTGGCCATAATCCACATACAGTGACCCAACTGCTGA